CGCACTCCGGCCCCGCCCCTCGCACTCCGGCCCCGCCCCTCGCACTCCGGCCCCGCCCCTCGCGGGCCAGGCCCCACCCCAGGCTCGGCCCGTACCCCGACCCCCTAACGGTCTGGGCGACTCCAGGTGGGCCCCGCCTGCCCGCCTCCCTCGTCGCTCGCCCTGCTCCCCTCTAACCTGGCCCACCAAGTCTCACCCAGGAAGTTCTGGTAGCAGTTACGGGTCTGGTTCTGGTTGGGGAAGCGCGGATCGAAGGGCGGAGTCGTCCATTTCCCCCTGGGGGGCTTCTGGGTTTCAACGTCCAGTATCCTCTGAGGACTTACCTCCTGCGGGGCAGGAGGGGGTTCCGTGGGGCTCTGACCGCACCCAGTTCCTGAGCCCATCCTGAGCACCTGTCCTGCCCTCACCAGACTGATGTCCACGCGTCGTCGGTCCACTGTGCTTGGGGTTCCCGGGAGCCTCTGGCTTCTGAGGGGGGGGGGTTCCGCCCCGCTCAGGAAAACATGGCCCTCAGATCGGATTGGCTGGGACCCCAACAGACCCATCCAATGGGAGCCGTTGCGGGGCCGGACTGGGACGCGGGTGGGGACAGTGCAGACTGCCTCCAGGCTGGGACTGACGCCCCCTCGGGGGCCGCGCACACACACAGGCACTGAGGGGGACTTTGGCTGAGTCTCAGACTCGGGCTTTTAATCTCTGCGAATTTGGGCTACTCCGCGGGCTCTCCCTGCCCCGCCCCCCCCCAAAATATAAACTTATAGATAACTCTGGTCTCTACCGGAGAGGGAAAATCCCCCCGCCTGGACTTTCCAGCATTCTGCATCCTACAGTAGGGGTGCACAGCACCCTGGGGCCTGTAGGAGAAGAGGAGAAAGGGAAGGTGAGGTCACAGCTTCCAGGATCCCCACCAGGGCTAGGGCCAGGTCTAATACAAGTAGTATCCGGGTCTCAGGGGTACCTGGCCCCGCTGGGCTCCTCTGGACAGTTTGCCGACTGAGAGCAAGTTCTCTGCAACCTGCTATTCAAAGTGCTGGGAACTTGGCATGCTGCAAAGACAGAAAAGCCAGAGAGGACCTTGGGGGACTGTCAAGGACATCTGAAACCAAGGCTCTAAGTATATCACCGAAAAATACCTATTACATAAAACTTACCACTCTGATTTACAGTGTACCCCTTAAAGTAGCATTCAGTACATTCAAACCGTGAAATCACATCACCTCCAGTTCCAGAGTGTTCTCATCACTTCAAAAGAAATCTTAATCCATTAGCAGTCACTCCCTATTCCTGCACCTTCAGCCCCTGAAAAACCCCTTCCTGTCTTCACAAATTCACCTACTTGTGGACATTTTGTGGAAATGGAACCCTACAAAACAGGGCCCATTATGTCCAGTTCCTGGCACTTGCCATAACATTTTTAAGGTTGCCCAGTATTGCAGCCTGGTGGCTTCCCCTTCTGTGCCCTCTTCAGGCCTGCTTCAGTCAGGCCTTCTCCAACATGTCTCCTCCCTGCGGAGACCCATGGGTCCTGTCTCAGTCCTGCCTCCTTCTTGCAGCATATGACATATGGTCCCCTGCTCCTCCTCCCTCATTACCTTCTTCAGACAGCATTCTGGATGCTCCTGCCTTTTGCTATTCTACTGTCTGACTTTGGTTCTTCTTTTTCTTAACAACTTGGGCTGTCTCTTCATTTCTATTTACTGGTGACCTCCATCAGTGACCCTTCCATAGGCAGTGACACCCCAAATTGCTTCCTCTGAATTCCAGAATCATGTTATCCAACTACTACCCCATGGCTTCCCTGACCATCTCAGAATTGAGATGCAGCACAGAATTCACAATCTTCTCCCCAGCCTCTTTGATCCCCATGATCCCTCTGCTCTTAGCTCCCACCCTTGCCCCTCTGCATTCATACCCCTAGCCAGAGAGCCCTTTCAGCGTAAATCAGTTCCTGCCATTATCATTATTATTTTTTTTTTTTGAGGGAGGGATACTGAGGATCGAACTCCAGGGCACTTGACCACTGAGCTGCATCGCCAGCCCTATTTTGCATTTAGAGACGAGGTCTCACTGAGTTGCTTAGGATCTCACTAAGTTGCTAATGCTGGCTTTGAACTCAAGATCCTCCTGCTTCAGCCTCCCAAGCCACTGCAATTACAGGTGTGTGCCAACGCACCCAACATCTTTTTTTTTTTTAATATATATTTTTTAGTTGTAGATGGACACAATACCTTTGTTTATTTTTATGTGTGCTGAAGATCAAACCCAGTGCCTCACACATGCTAGGCAAGCACTCGATCACTGATCTACAGCCCCAGTCCCAGTTCCTGCCACTCTTGTGCCCCAAACCTTCTAGTTTATTCAGCATCAAAAGCTACAATCCTTAAACTTTTCTGCAAAGTTCTGTATGATGGGACCCTGACTGCATTTCCCACATCTGGACTCCTGGACTCACTCGGTGCACACAAGCACTCTGCTCCTGCCTTGGTACTCAGCAGAGGCCTTCAGGTGTTTACACAAATGACTCCAGCTCCATACTGCCTCCCTGGCCACCTGCACTATGGTGGGGCTGTCCCTGACTTGTCCCTGCCCACTAGGTGCCAGCAGCATACCCCATGTTCACCCTCACTGTTGGATGCTGCATCCCTCCTGCCTAGAACAACACCCAGACACAGTAAACACTGATGCAGGTTAGCTCAGCAGGCCCTGGGCCATGGCGACAACCACCCAGATATACATAAACAGAGTCTATCTAAGGTGACATCAGGGAACAGATCCCCACTCTCCTGCAGACTAAGGAGGTGACAATAAGCATTAGCAGCTGATCCCAAGTACCTGGGCGATGGGTGAAAGGAGCCCTGTTCTTCCGTTGTTATCTCTGCCTTGGTGACCACATCACTCCTATCATCAATTTCCAAGAGCACAGGCCGGAGAATTTCCGAGGATGATCCCGCCTTGGCCAGAGGATGCTGGCTCAGCATGCTTTCAGGTTCTTGAGATATTCTCCTGGCCAGTTGGGGCGTCCTGACTGAGCCTGGCGTCCTGACTGAGCCGGGCGCCCTGACTGAGCCGGGAGCGCTGACTGTGCCAGGCGTGCTGACTGTGGTGGGCATCTTGACTGAGCCAGGCTCGCTGACTGTGGTGGGTGCCCTGACTGAGCCTGGTGCGCTGACTGTGGTGGGCGCCCTGACTGAGCCTGGCACACTGACTGTGCCAGGTGTACTGACTGTGGCGGGTGTCTTGACTGAGCCAGGCATCCTGAGTGAGACCCGGGTCCTGACTGAGCCAGGGGACTTGAGCGAGCCCCGGGTCCTGACTGAGCCAGGGGACTTGAGCGAGCCCCGGGTCCTGACTGAGCCAGGGGACCTGATGGAGTCCACGATTCTGACTGAGCCCGGGCTCCTGGAGGTGGGGGCTGCTTCCAGGGGAGATTGTGACGTCAAGTCTTCCCACCCTGAGGCAGGCAGGGCGATGGGAACCTGGGGGTCATCGACTATCTTTGGGCCATCAGAGATTGGCACAGAGTAGAGGGTCACCTTAGAAGGCTCCACTGGGTCCCAGGGTGGTTCCTTCTCAGTCCATTTCTTCTGCGTGTTCTCCTTCACCCAGGTGTGTGACTCTGGCTGCTCCCTGACAATCACTGGTGGCCCATCCATGAAGGTCAGCTGGCTGGGACTGAAGGGCAAGGGGGCCTTTGTGGACACAGTGGATGTTCCAGAAGCCACCGGGAGCCAAGAGGGCAGTGAGACCTCAGGCAGTCTCAAGTGCTTCTCTTTGGAGTTGGCTATGATCATCAGCTTGGCCATCGCCAGCCCCTCCACGGAAAAGGGCCTGCTCTGCTCCTGCGGGGGGCCCTCAATGGCCATCTCCCTGGTCTTGATCCATTTCTTCTGATGCTCCACCTCCTTGGACTTCATGCCAGGCAGATCCAGGGTCAACTCCTCCTTCATCCTGTAGGCCCTGTCTTCCAACATTCCTCTGCCCCTGAAGCCATCCAGGGTAAGCTCCCGGGCCTTGCTGATCAAAATGTCCTCAGACTCCTTCTTGGTTGTGGTGAAGGGTAGCTCCAGAGACATCATCTGGGTCCTCATCTCCACCTTATTTATCTCCTGGGCTCCCAAGAAGACCACAGGCTTGGACTTCTCTTCAGACCTGCCTCTCTCCAGCCTGTCCCCTCCAGGAATTCCCACTGTCAACACTTCTGGCTTGGCAGCGGCCTTCTCCTGCAAGGTGGATGGGCCCACTGCCGGCTGGTACTGGGGAAGTGAGGCGGGAGCCTTCCGGGACGGTGCAAGTGAGAGTAGAGGTTCCGTCTGTGGGGGAGGGGGAACAGCAGAGGGAGGCAGGGCCTGCTGAGATGAAGGGAGGGTCTTCTGGGGAGGGAAATACAGGGCTGGAGGCTTCCGGGATGGGTAAGGCAAGGCTGGGGTCTTCCGGGAAATAGTTGACGCAGGTGGCAGCTTTTGTGACGGGCCACCTCCAGTTGTGGCCTTCCGGAATGGAGCACGAGTTGCTGGGGACCTCCGGGATGGAGCAGGGATTGCCGGCACCTTCTGGGACTGGTCTACGATGAAGGGTGCTTTCAGGGCCGTGGTTGGGGCAGGCATGGCCTTGTGGGAGAGTGGTGGGCTTGGGCCCTGCCAGGAGGCCATGCTCTTGGCCTTGTCACGGGGCTCAGGAAAAGAGATACGAGTTGGAAAGAGGTACATGGGTGGTGGGTAGGGAGATGGACCCAAGGAGGAAGAGGATAAAGTGCTGGACTCCGGGTCCATTAGTTCTTCAATGTCTTGCTTCCACAGGAGTGTCTCTAAGTGATCATAGGAGCCCAGGAAGGTGAAATCGGGGCCTTCATTGGAGATACAGCGGGTCGGGTTTTTAATCACACCTCCCTTGCCTGGGGCCCCATCAGAATCAGATGTGCCGGGCTGTAGATGGGTGGAGGGATGAATGGTCAGGGCCACAAGAGACCACAGACTCAGGAGTCCTGCCTGAGTTCCCCTCCCCTAGGCCTCAGACCCAGGGGGCCACCCCCCAGCCTCCTCCCTCAGACCCAGGAGTCCAGGCCCAGCCTCCTCCCTCAGACCCAGGGTCCAGGCCCAGCCTCCTCCCTCAGACCCAGGGGTCCAGGCCCAGCCTCCTCCCTCAGACCCAGGGGTCCAGGCCCAGCCTCCTCCCTCAGACCCAGGTATTGGGGCCCCAGCCTCTTCCCTCAGACCCAGGGGTCCAGGACCCAGCCTCCTCCCTCAGACCCAGGGGTCCAGGCCCAGCCTCCTCCCTTAGACCAGGGTCCAGGCCCAGCCTCCTCCCTCAGACCCAGGGGTCCAGGCCCAGCCTCCTCCCTCAGACCCAGGGGTCCAGGCCCAGCCTCCTCCCTCAGACCCAGGTATTGGGGCCCCAGCCTCTTCCCTCAGACCCAGGGGTCCAGGACCCAGCCTCCTCCCTCAGACCCAGGGGTCC